ACAGAGGCATGCCAGTTTGTCTCACATGGCCTTTGGCTGCATTCTTAATTTCTGGGGTTGTACTGAGAGAAAAGCCAGTGCTAGAAGAAGTAGCCTTCAGGTTGCAAAGAAACAGTTGGCTTCAGCCGCTAGGTGTTTGTGGAAGCATTGGGCAGGTGGGGAAAGCAGCAGTGGATACAGAGAAACCGTTGCCAGTAACCAACAATAACATCACAGATTCACTAACAGACCGGAACTGTGGGGCGACTTTAGAGAGGCAGCTTACCAGTGTCCTTCTTAGATGTGTAGGACAGCCATGTGCTCAACTACTTACTTGGGACAAGATGGAACATTCTATAAAACTGGGAATAGCTGGCCATGGTGGTGCACACTTTTATCCCAGCTCTCAGGAGGCAGATGCAGGCAAATCTCTGTGAGTTCGAGGCTACCCCAGTTCACACAGGCCAACCAGGAATATATAGTAAGACCCTGTTCAACAACAACAAAACCCAAACCATGGCTGGGCGGTGGTGGTGCACGCCTTTAATCCCAGCACTTGGGAGGCAGAGCCAGGAGGATCTCTGTGAGTTCGAGGCCAGCCAGGACTACCAAGTGAGTTCTAGGAAAAGGCGCAAAGCTACACAGAGAAACCCTGTCTCGAAAAACCAAAAACAACAACAACAACAAAAAACAAAACAAAAAAAAAAAAAACAAAAAAAAAAACCAAACCACTGGGAATGGTTTGCAGGTAATAAAAATAGCTGTAAGGAAAGAAACCAGGCTCCTCCAGAGTGAAGAGGGAGACATGGGGCTCCTTTCTGCCACTTCTGGGTTTTTCTATGATGATGAAGACCCAGAAAATCTTACAAATCCCTCTTGTCATTCTTGAACTTACCAGAAATTCTCTAGATTAGAGAACGCAATTGTGGAGTTGAAAGGCTGGGGGTGAAGAGAACGCAGGAGGAAAGGGGCTGAGAATTACATGACTCGGTCTTTTAGTAGACCTTCAGGCACATTCTGTTCCCTCAGTGGGCTGGATTCCTCAAGTGTCTGTTCTCTGGTCTATGGCCTTGTTATAGGGCTGGAGTGATGGAGGAATGAAGAGAGACGTAATATGAGTAAACAGCAAAGGAGCCACACTGGTACCATTTGTAAAAGGCGAAGATCAAGCATACAAGGGAATGATGGTGAAAAGAGGCCAAGAACCAACGTGGAACACAGCAGAGTGGTAGGGTGGGGAGCTCGCTCGCTCAGCGGGCAAAGGTTTGCTGCATGAACACCTGAGTCTGCAATCCCAGCGCCTACAGAAAAGCCAGACAGACTAGCACATACCCGTACCTCAAGCACTAGGGGAGAGATGGTGGAGACAGGTGCCTAGGAGTTCACTGACCACCCAGTCTAGCCAACACAGGTTCAGTGAGACCCTGCCTTATAAAATGGGGTAGAGGACAGCAGAGGAAGACAGCCAACATCACCCTGTGGCCTATGCCGTCCACAGGCACACACATATTGCACACATACAATCACCATATACAAAGAAAAGAAAGGAAAGAGGGAAGGAGAGAGGAGAGAAAGGAAGAAAGAAAAGGGTATGAGAAGGGGTATGAGACACAAGGGCCTATCATGAAAGAAGCTGTATTCAGATAGATTTGTGGTTACAGTAATAATAATGTTCTCAGATTTAAATGAAGATCCTTTTGAGAATTTCAGTTTGGCTCAGCTGAGGTTAGGAAATGCAAATTAATGATGGGAACACTTAATGATTTCGTAGCATGTGCTAGGGATCTTGGCCCTCTCATCTTTCAGTCAAAGGCGAAAAGGAAGACAGGATGTCCGATAAGGGTGGATCTTAGTGGAAGCAAGGGAAGATGGACAATGTATAGTATCAATGTCCTAAAACAGTGCAAATAGAACCTGGAGAGCCCGCTCAGCAGTGAGGAGTGTTTCCTGCTCCTGCAGAGCAGTTCGGTTCCCTGCACACATGGTGAGCAACTCACAGGCACCTGCAACTCCAGCTTCTGGGGCCAGACACGCTCTTCTGCCCTTACACACACACACACACACACACACACGCACGCACGCACGCACGCACGCACGCACACGCACACGCACACGCACACGCACACACATGTATGTAATGCTTTTATTTTTTAAAATATAAATGTAGGATATTACAGGTGAGTGGCTCAGAAGTCTAAAGGGGACTGACTGAAAGTTCCAGTAGAACTGTAGTTTTGGCTGGAGGCCTGATGGGAAAATAGGATTCCTCTCAAACTTGTAGACATTATCCACAGAAGAATTCACAAAGGTTCTTGATCCCCTCTCTCCATCTTTAAGGCTGACAGCATTGCAACTCTCTGTGCCAACTCTTCTGCTTCCCTGCCCTACTCTTAAGGATACCTGTCTTTTCAGGTGTAGTCAGAAAATGCAGAATGGTCTCTTTATTTTAAGGTCAAGGTTAACAACTGTATTTCCCTTTGCACATAGCCTAGCATATCCACAGATTCTGGCATTAAGATGCCTGCCACAAAAATAGGAAATTAATGTGGAAAAATTATAAAAACTGTTTTCCCTCCTATACTTCTCTGCTACCATTTGAGGACCTTTTCTTGTATGTTATGTATTTATATTGGTCATAAGAGCAAAATATGAAGTAGCTGAAATACATAATAATTTGCAGATTTAGGTGATCCTGGACAGAGGATCCCTGGTTTCTTCTCTGTAACAGGACAAAGTTGAGTCTGATGGCTTATCAGACCCCAGTGTTCCTCTCTGACTTTTGATAACTTTACCTTTGCAGTTCTATTGAAGTATGATGTCTCATTGACACAGGACATGCTGCTTCACATCCCAAAGCCCCAGAATCCTTGCTGATACTTGCCTGGTTACGTCACCATTGTATTTAACCTATGCTACCAGCATTGCTAGCAGTTTTCACCTGTTATCAACACATATACTTTGTGGATGGACAACACATAAAAATAAACTTAGCTTTAAACCAAAGCCAAAACCTAAACCTGATTCCCTGGGGCTGGGGAGATGGCTCAGTAGTTAAGAGCACTTGCTGCTCTTCCAGAGGACTCAAGTTCAGTTCTCAGCACTCATATCAGGCAGCTCATAACTGCCTGTAACTCTGGCTCCAAGGGATCTGATGCTCTTTCCTGGCCTCTGGGGTACCTGCATATACGTAACATACATAGACACACACATGCACATATATGCATACACACTCTCACATAATAAATCTAAAAAAATGACTCCCAAGTTTTGCTTTATTGCTGATGTATACATTGCTTGTCACACAATGTCCATGTTGCTTATCACAGAATGTGTCCTGTGCTTTGGAAGTACAGATACCTCATAACATTAAAATACCTCATATTTTATACTATGAAATTTCCAAAATGTCTTCCTATCTGCTACTTCATGTGATTCTCTATAACAGTGTTCTGGGATTGCTGACAGGAAATGGGCATACGCACAGGGATAAGTAACCATTTCTCATCGCTCTGTATACATGTTTAATATGCATCCCTGGTCAGTGGTAAAAGAGGTGCTAGGTAATTTGTTGGAAGACTGACCTCAAGCACGTAAATATACCACACTTACTCACATACTGCACATGTGGCTACAAAGTGATCAAACATCTTTTACATTTTAATTGGATCATCTTAACTAGAAATATCCTACCTTTTATCTTTACCTTTGAAAGAAGATGTAGTCATGGAATAGTCTCAGGCATGTTTTGAAATCATTCTTTATTCTTTAAGCATTTACCTTATCTTCTTATAACCTCAATATATATTATTTGCTAATATGTCTTTTAAGACATTTACCTGAATAAAGATAGATGTATGTAGACAGATTGATTGTAGATACACAAAATTATAAGCATTACAATATCATAACCATGCATATAAATAACACTGAAATTGAATCTACCTCTGCTCACTTTCATATGTGGAGTGGCTCTCTAAATTATTAGAGAAATTAATAGTCATTTTTTAAAATGACTCCAATCATCCATTGGTTCTTCTGTCTTTCTGATTCTTAGGTTCATAGTGCAGAAAAACCAAAGAGTGACTTTCAGATGAACTGTAAATCCTTTGCTTTTCAGATCAGCAAAGAGGCAGTTATCAGTGTTCATTTAGTCTGGAGCCCTGTTGCCTGAATTGCGATAGTTTTCCTTATGCTGAAAAAGAAATGGGTGTCATATCTTGCATTCATCTATAAAGCCCCTTTTTCTATAGCAGTTACACACAGACATGTGTTTGGGCTCAGTAACCACAAGGAGGCATGGAAGCCTCTCTCAAAATGTTCCTGCCTGTGAGGATGCATGCCTTTCAAGTTCATGTTTGGATCCACTGTTTTAAGGCCTGACATTAGAGCAGAAGCTACTACTTCTTTCGCGGGCATTTCTGGGCAGTGGTAACACGTATGTGTTTTCCCTCTGCCCCGTCTCCAGTAAAAACAAAAGGGACCACAGGACTTTCTTAGTACGGACAGAGTAAATGCCTTCACCTTTCTCGCCCTTTGAAGGTTAAAAGTTCTGACTGGGAGCAGAGGGTGCTTCTTTGATATGTGAGTTCTTAAGTACATGTTTCTGACAGTAAGGGGGTTGACTGAACCTTGTGTAGAATGACTCTGGGATCCAACTTCAAAGTGCTGTATGATTTTAAAGCCAAAACAATCCCTTAAACCTGAGCCTAACATTTTCAGATGTCCTACTGAATATTCACGTTAAATGATAGACGTTTTCTCCATGCATTTGTAATCTTGACTCCCGGGAGCTTTGTTGGTATTGAAAGAATAGGAACCTCTATTGTAGAACATGCTGTGTAGCACATTTTCTATGCTTAATCCTTGAGAAATACAGACTGTGTTCTTAGGACTTGATTGTTTCTGCAAGATGCTGCAGAGGAGAAAATTTTTGACCCTAAAAATGCAGACTGTGACATTTTGAAATTCCCATGTGTGCTATATTTGATGTGCTGTTTCTGTTTTGACACTTTGCCTTTTAGGATATGACCAGTCTGTGCGAGAACACATTTCTGATTTGGACATACAGCAGAACATGCAGCTGGGGAGGATGTGTGACATCCTAGGTACAGTAAACCTTTTTACATCAATGACTGTCTGCAACTTTTGGGTAGATATCGGTAAAATATTTTTTCTTTCCTCTACAAGGAAAGAACTTATCTTTCTAACCTACTTGCAAGGTAAATAATTATTTTGTTTAAAGTAATAGATTTATAGTGAAGTCAGTTTGAATTTTCAAATGTTTGAACAATTACTTGAATAGTTTTCTAAATTCTTTATTGAATAACAGTTTCTCTCTGATGAACTCAAATCATCTTGACTTGCTATTCCTTTCAGTGAGTCAGGTCAAAACTCTCTGTCAGTATTGTCTATCCTGTCTTCCGGGCAAGGAGTGCAAAGAGTGGATGGAGCGCTGTATTTTCTTTATAAGAATAAAAGGGAAGCAAAGGCAGGATGGAGAAAATGTGGAGTGCCTTGTGGAGGGAATTCCTAGAAATCCAGGCTTGGGCAGATGGAGATGTCTTTGCAAATGTCAAGTTTATACTGTTTTAGTCAGCCCTCAGCCACAGACTGGATCCAGGAGAGAAAAATACATGACTGCCAAGGCCAAGCTGCAACCATGGCTGGAAAAACAAATATAGATTACAAAGCATATACAATGAATCAAGTCAGTTTGTGAGGAACTGGCCCCAAACCAAGGGTTAAATAAAAAATTAGATCTTTAGAAGTTAATAAGAACTTCTTTGTCTTGTTAAAATATAATTGCTTTGGCCCTTATTTAAGCAATACGAGGAAGAATTTTATATTATCAATAGTCAACTTAGCTGGCTCCCTGGAATGACATACTTTACGTGATTCATAGATATTTCAACATCATTATTATTTTATAAATGCCATTTGGTAACAAAAATACATTGGTACTAGAAATTTACAGTGTCCTAAAATAATAATAGCATAATTGCTTTAATCTGTTATCTAGGCACCAATGCTGTGTTTCAGCATTACACAACAAGCCCTTTAGTGATGTGAGATTGATTTGTTATCGCTGAGCTATTCAACTAAAAGCCTGGCTGGCTGGGACCACTGAGGTGCAGCAGAGGGCAGACTTTACTCTGATTTATTTGAATTAATTTTTTTCCTCAGCTTTTTATACATCCTTCTATATATAGTACAAGCCATCACAAAGGAGTGTTTTTATAGAAGTTTCTCATTATGGAAGAAAAAAGTATTAGGTTACTATTTTCAATAATCCAATTATTCAGTCTGTACCTACAAAGAAAAATTTCGCAACTATGGTCATTTCTGAGAGACTGCTTTTTTCTAGCACATTATCATTCTGAAGAAGCAGTGTGACCATATAGCCTCTTCAAGAGGCTTAGTTTAGAGGTGGCTAGTGAAGGTAAAAGTGCTTTTCTGTGAAATAAAATAGAAAAAGAAAAGGAGAAATGAGAAATTATTTGGGAGGAAGAATAAAAGCCCTTTATTCTGTTAATTACTAGTAAAGGGTATTGGCTTTCCTGCTTATTCAGGAGGGAAGTAAGGATAATCTGATCACATTGCTAAGACTTGATACTGGATATCAGCTGTGATGTCAGGGTGGCACTTTTCCTTTCTGGATAAGTAAGAGAGAAGCTGATTTTGACTACCAATCAGAGAAAGCTTCATCTTCTTAACAGCTCCTTTTTATAACTATCTGTCAGTTAATTGTGTTTGTAGATTCACAGTGAACCCCAACTCCACTGGATATTAAAGTTAGTGATATGTATTGCTCTGACAGAAATGAACAAGAAAAGCTACATTATCAACTTGATTCTTATTATTTGAAGCCTAGATACTTCTTCCCAAGTAAAATTCATCTTGTGTTACTATAGCTATTTTTGCTGTTTATATCCTATTCTTTTATGCTTTTCTTAAAAACACACACAATAACAATGACAACACACATTTGGCTTTTATACTCACTAGTTCCATTGGACACCCGTTTCTTCCCCAAAGTACAAGGCTAGCAATAACTAATGTGATCAGTCAGCAATTGGATACAAGTTATTCAATTACTTTCTGTTCAGCTAATTTATTTTGATGTTTATATGGCAATCTAGTTTCAAAATAAAATTGGAGATCTTAACTATTTACATATATGTAGCACCTCCTACCAGCCTTTTCCTGGACCAGTTTAAAAGCCACTCTGTCTCTATAGAGAGAGACTTCTCCTACCTGCTACGTATCTCACTCACTAAGTGAGCAAAACATTCAACCATCTAAATCTCTTCATTCTTCCGAACCCCAGCCAACCATGAGCGCTCATTGAGTAGTCCCTATGCAGTCTACACTGTACTGAGACCTGGAGGATATATAGAATTTAAGGAGCTTGGAGAGTGCTGAGGGTGTAGCTCAGTTGGGAGAGTGCTTGTCTAGCATGTATAAAGCCTTGGGCTTGATCCCCAGCACTGAATAAACCTGGCCTGGCCCTGAAAACCTGCGACACCAGCACTTAGGAGGTGGAGGTGGGAGGATCAGGAGTTTGAGGCCAGACTCTGTTACATAGTGAGTTACAGGTCAGCCTGGGCTACATAAGACCCCATCTCGGGAAAATATATGAAAAAGGAGCTTGGATTGATAGATTGAAAAATTATCAGAGACTGGAGATGACACTACTTCATCATATTAGATCAAGGAATTGATCAAAGGGAGCTAGGTACAAAGGGCATGGCAGTGAGTTACTGCTGTCTGTGGCATTTGGTCAACACTTCCTGTGTGCCAGATACTGTACCAAGAATATTTTTTCTTTCGTTTAGTGCTCCAGAACTCTATACCTAGGTGATTCAACCCCACATTTACAAATGAAGAAACAAATGCTTAGATAAATAATGTGCCCAGGGCCCTAGAAAGCTCAGAGGAGGGAGGGCTGGAAGTGTCACCTTGGCTCCCTCCTCTGAGCTTCCCTGAGTACCTGGTCTGACCTGTGTGTTTGGAATGGTTGCTGCCCAAAGACATTTCTCAGTCACTTTGATCCCTAGATTTCCTGGAGTGCTGAGCCAAGTGCTTTGTTCCTATTTGTATCTAAATTAGTCAGTTATTTTATGAATGAGTTAAAAGCTCTATCAGCTGCTAATTTACATCCATGTGCCCTTAAAATGTTCTGCAGCACCGAGTGAATGATCTCATCTCACTCTTCCATTGGGACTTTTTCTATGTGTGTATTACGAACATCTTGAGGAAAAAAGCAGTTGAGGCAGTGTTTTCCCTGGACCAGGAATCACTCGATGTGCTACTGAAGCAAAATAGTCCTCTCTGGGGCTGGAGCTGGGGTAGGGTGGTTCCTGAAGGAATCATTGCTGGTCATAATCAGCCCATTTATTCTGTCAAGACCTTTCCTGGACTGGCCCTGTCAAATCCAAGCAGAGAATGCCATTGAAATTTCATCAGCTTCCTGGAGTTAATAGCTCTGCTTTATAATTTGCTGACCTGAATGGAATACCTTCCCACCAGTGATAAAGGGAATGGTTTAGTTAATCCCTGTGCATTATCTGGAAGTTTACTTCCACGTTCCCTCGCAGTCATCTGTATTTTGTTGGTGGCGGTATCTCCTTTTCTTTAGAGAGATGATGAAGTGCAGAAGGGCTGCTTTGGATTGCTGAGACACATGCAGAGCCCATCTAAATTCACTTTGCTGTGGCTTTTGGATATGCTCTTTGTTTTAAACTACTGTAACATCAATTGGATGCCAGAGTTCATCATGTCATTTACCTTTATATCAGTAATTAACATTGTGCCCATTATTTCTCAGATGCCAATGTCAATGTCATCTACATCTGCTCTCATCCCATGAATGATGAGTTAAAGCTGTACTACAAAAAACTCTTGAGTCTACAAGCAGCTGTCGTCTCGGGGAACTATGAGGATAGGAGTGACCTGCAGAACAGGTTCAGAATTATCACCCCTGAAGCTGTAAACATCTTCACTGTGAGTTTGTCTTCTAATTACTATGGCTTCAGGGATGCAGTAAAATTAAATTGGAAATTTTATAACTTGCAACGCTCTGGTACACATCAGTGAAATATTATTGCAAGTTTAACAGCTTTGCTGATTAGACTACTAGTTGGACTGTAGGAAATAAATACCACAGTTTAACTTTCAAACTTAGCTGAGCTGCCCCTGCCCAGTTTCTCTGAGGCAGAAGCCTAACTGCAGCTACTGGGAAGTATAATCAAATAGGTAGATTTATAACATTTATCACTCCTTTTTCTTAATTTATGTGGAGTTCACCAGGACAGTAAAAGTCTGGCCAGGCCTATGCAGCCATAAAACTACTCAGGGAGAGAAAGTGGACCAGGGCCCCAAATTTCTGCCTTTCCCACAGGTACTCCTTGTTACTTTCATTCCTTTGGGCAAGTGAACCTGATGTTCATATCACATGGTTCTGTATGAACAAGGTTCACATTTTAACATACTGATTTTTAATGGATAGAATGGACTTTCATATCTGTACAAGAATTACTAAGAAATTAATGGAACCAGGAAGGCAGAGTTCTAGTCAACGGCAGTACAACAGATGATTTGAAGAGGACTTCTCTAGGTTTTAAAAAGAACTTAATCCCCCCCCCCCACACACACACACATTTTATTATCTAATGGGCTACCAATTTTGAGGTTTGTTTTAAAAAAGAAAGACTGCATTTGCTAGTAGACAGTACTCTCCATTTACAGATGAGGAACACTGAAGTCAGCTCTCTACATACCAGGCAAAGTGGCGGCAGGGAGGGGGATTAAACCCCAGCAGGGCTGCAGGGGAGGCATGCTGCTTTGTCTATGCTCAGCATCTTCTGCATCCACTCGCTTCTCTCATTAGAGGACACCTCAGTGTTCCTGACAGGGTTCTGCTTAGCTTTGCTTCATTGGCACATCTGGTTGTGGAAAGGGAGGACAGGTACAAACTATCACAACTTACTTATACTCTTGGGGTCTTTCATATCCTTCATCAAAAGTAGGGATCTCTGGTGCTTCCTGGCTACCCCATGCCCTCAATGGCAATTGATGTAGATGTTAGGAAGCAAAGAAGAAAAACACCAAAACCCATTTGTGTTTAGTTAAACTGTTGATATTCTCAGAGCCAGAAACTCAAGCTAACACCTGCTAGCTGCCAGTAAAGAGCGTGTGTGCATCTGAAATGCCTGTAGACACTGAGAGGTATGGGCAAGGAAGGGGATTTGTGATTAGGAGAGTAGGTAAAGTAACATTTCTCGGACTCTTAGCATGCGTTTTCTTGTTTGAGCCTCACAAAATGTAGCAACACAGAAATCATCGCTCTCCTTTTATTGCCGCAGAAACCAAAACTCATTTTCTAGTTCAGTGTCCCTGGTAGGGCCAGATTGTGAACCAAAATCTGTCTCCTCTAGGTCACTATTACACATGGGAATGACTGTTTTGTTTGTGGATGACCCAGTGGCCGTGGGCAAGCCTCCTGAGCTCTCTTGTCCTCTGTTCTTCATCTATGAAATGGGGTGATGGATTGGGTAATTCCAAAGTCCTCTCCAAGTCTATAGTCCTCACTCTGAGAAGGCTGCCCTTGCAGTGCCCTTTCCAGCTTCCAGGCTAGAGTCAGGCAGCTGGTGCCCTTGACAGCCTCAGCTCCAGCCAGTGCAGGTCTGCATCTTGGTGAGCAGAAACAGGTAGGCAAGGTTTGAAGTACTAAATATTGCTGCTTGGAGCTTAAATTCAAATGATTTGAGTGATTAATCACTCATAGGCAATCACCTTTTTAAAACACAGAAATTAAACCCTCCCTTTCAAACTGGTTCTGTGTCTGTTTAGCTATTGCTTCCTCTCTTTTTAATGGGTCTGGGAGATGGTGTCAGTGCTGATTTTCATTCAAATGGATGGCTTTGAGGAGAGTTCTTAAAGCGTGCCAAAAATCTGTTTGTGCATCTCTCCAAGTTACTCTGTAAAGCTAGACTTTGTAATGGTAAGTGTGCTTATATAAAAGTCATCATGTCTATTTTGGAGCATTTTAATGTTTATGAAGACATTCTAAACAACTGTCTTTGTCTCAGGTCAAAAATAAGAAATAAGTGGTGGTAAAAATGAATGTAGCCACAAGGAAGGGCATTAGGAACATGTTAGATCTTTGTCATCCATGGTACTTTGCTATCTGGAACTGGTGATGCTGACTTTCTCTAATGGCCTCACAAGACCTAAGGACAGTAGCATGTCGTCTGCCATCACTTATGCACATTTGAATCTTTATTAAACACATACTGAAGATAATACTAGGGTGCCATCATGCCTGAAGACTAAGGCATGCCCAGAAAGACATGGAGCTAGAGAGAATACTTGTTGACAGAGATGCATACATCTAGAGGAGATGGAAATGTACCCTGGCTGGACATGTCCTCAGAGCTTGACCTTGATTGCTGTATCTGCTTTCCCCTCCTCATAGTCCATAAACCCACAGGCCTTCACTTCTCACTTTGTAAGATGAGCGAAGTAAGTGTGGTAACTGTAGCACACCAACCGTACTAATGGTTCAAATCCTCTACTTTATAGTCAGAGCTGTATGACTTTGAACAAATCATTCATCTCATAGCAAGGACTGTAGTATGGATCAGATGAGAGGTGGGGTGACAAAGACTTTGAACTTCTATTTTAAAAGTTTAGTTTATTTTTATTTATTTATTTATTTATTTATTTATTTATTTATTTGAGACAGGGTTTCTCTGTGTAGCTTTGCGCCTTTCCTGGAGCTCACTTGGTAGCCCAGGCTGGCCTCGAACTCACAGAGATCCGCCTGGCTCTGCCTCCCGAGTGCTGGGATTAAAGGCGTGCACCACCACCGCCCGGCAAGTTTAGTTTATTTTTGATTTTGTATGTGTGCATGTGTAGGTGCTCACCAAGACCAGAAGAGGTTGTTGGATCCCCAGAGCTAGAGCTGTTGTGAGCCACCTGGTGTGGGTGCTGGAAATTGAACTTGAGTCCTCTGGAAAAGCAGCAAGTGCTTTTACCCATTGAACTGTCTTTCTAGATCCAGCTCTGAGCTTCCTAATCCATCATCTGATCCCCTATTGTAACTCAAGCCAGCAGCTCTGGATGTGCTTTCTTTGTGTCACATTTCCACACTGAAGGGATTGTGGGGAAGGAGAGCAAGTGAGTGAGCAGGAGGCTAGGTGATTAACAAGCAGAGCTGACCACATCCGCAGTGCGGGCATGGTGGCCAATGGAACGCCGGCTCGCCTAGAACTGCACTCTGGGGAGTGCCTCTGAAGTGTGAACTGACGTTACGCTAGCAAAGTAACACTGTATGGACCGAAGAGGTTTAGACTTAAACTCCTGGCTTGGAGGAGGGGTCCAATAGTAAATTATCTAATCTTTCTCAGAGGATCTCTGGATTTTCCCTTTTCTTACTGTGGTAAACTACGTACAAGATAAAATTTTGCCGTCTCAGACATTTTTAAAAAGACAGTTCAGGAGTGTTAAGTGCATCCACATTGTACAAGTGTTACTACCATCTACCTCAGAACTTTCCTCGTCCCAGCAGAAGCTCTGGACACATTCCATAATAAACATGGAAGTGCTCTGGCTGTACTTAGGAATTCTTTCAGAGATGGAAGGACCTTAGAGATGTTCTGTCCAACCTCTCACTTGAATATAAGGAGCTGAGTTTCAGAAAGGCAGAGTGCTCTATGCCCCAGCTTCTTAACTCCGGGGTGCAAACCAAATGTGAAGGCTGTGAAAATGTTTTTCAACATTCTATGACCAATAGTTAATTCAAAATCAAATCCTAATGAATCCAACACATTTTTGATTATATCACATGATACAAATGTTCTGTAGTCTCAGTTCTGACCATACAGCTTGTACACCTTGCATTATACATGCCTTCATGGCAAACAAATTTCCATTGAAATGTCACTTGTATTTTTTATGTGTATGAGTGTTTGGCCTGCATGTACGTGCACCACATCTGTGCCTGATGGCCAATGAAGCCAGAAGAGGGCATCAGATCCACTGAAACTAGAGTTTCGGGCACTTGTGAGCCACCATGTGGTTGCTGGAAACCTAACCCACGCCCTTTGCAAGAGCAGCAGATGCCCTTAACCATATCTGGGAAGCCATCCTTCAGCCCCAAACAGTGCCAACTAACACTGCCTAAAGCACCTCTGCTCAGCTGGAGACTACGGCGTATTATGAACTGCAGTGTTTTTACTCCATGTCATAGGGTTTCTACTGCTATGATGAACACCTTGTCCACAAGCAACTTGGAGAGGAAAGGGTTTATTTTATCTTAGAGTTTATAATCTATCCTGAAGGAAAGTCGGTGCAGAAACTGAAGGCAGGAACCCGAAGGGAGGAATTTGAAACAGAGACCACTGAGGACTGCTGCTTACTAGCTTGCTTTCTATGACTTGCCCAACTTGCTTTTTCTACAACTCAGAACCACATGCCCAGGGGTGGCATCACCCCTAGTAAGGCAGTTGTGTGCCACCATGTGATTGTTGGAAACCTAAACCAGGTCCTCTGCAAGAGCAGCAATGTGGGCCCTCAATCAATAAAATGCCTCTTCGGCTTACCTACGGGCCAATCTGATAGAGGCATTTTCTTAACTGAGGTTCCTCTTCCCAGATAACTCTAGCTTGTGTTAAGTCAACAAAACTTAACAAACACACTGTACATACATACTTTTCTGCTTTTATAAGAGTATGGTTTAATTACAGAAATCAAAGACATTTGATATTTTCCTACCGCCATTCCCCAGCAAGTAAGTATCAAATTTGTGTCTTTGCATTGCATTGTGTGAGACTGTTTGCTTTTTAAAACTTGATGTTTGAGAGGCTGGAAAGATGGCTCAGCTGTTAGGAGCACTTCCTGCTCTTCCAGAGGACCCAGGTTAGGTTCCCAGCACCCACATGGTGGTGTCTCATAATACCTGTAACTCCAGTTGGAGGGGCTCTCATACACTCTTCTGCCTCCCTGGATCCCTGCACAAATAAACACGGCGCACATAAGCTCCCATGGTCACACCCATACTCATAAATCAAAACGGATTTAACAGGCTGTTGAGTTTCTGACTGAGTTATAGTTTTAAAAACTATTCAATTAATTTTGGCCTCGTATTTGAACAGAATTTCCAGTAATTTCTGAAATGTCCCTAAACACACTTTTGGCATTTTGCATTATATATTTATGCAAAGTAACATTTTTAACATTGATGACTATAAAATAAAAATATTGATCAACTCTGAGAAAATATTGAAGATGTTCTACACCCTACAGTATCAAATATTTAGCAAAGACTTAATTTTTTTTATAAAAAATGAACAAGCACAATCTCATTAGCATATGAATTTGCTTTCATCTTTAACAAGTGGTAAAATTATGCATATACCAAAGAATTGTTTTAAAATAAATTTGTGATTTATTATCAATAAAAGTTTGATTTGTATAACTATTTATAAACACTTGGAGTTGCATAAAAATTTCTCATGGGAGCCAGGCAGTGGTGGTGCGTGCCTTTAATCCCAGCACTTGGGAGGCAGAGCCAGGCAGATCTCTGTGAGTTCAAGGCCAGCCTGGTCTACAGCGCAAGATCCAGGACAGGCACCAAAACTATACAGAGAAACCCTGTCTCGAAAAACAAAACAAAACAAAACAAAACAAAACAAAACAAAAAAATCTCCTAGGGATAGGGGTGAGAAGCAGGAAAAAGTTTAAGCAGCCCTGTTCTAAATCACCCAGCAAGCTGCAGGCCCATTTAAGACTGAGAGCTAGGGCCTTTCCTAGTTCAGATATCTTGCTTGCACACTTGCAAGTTATATCCTGCAGCCATTTAAGAATGGGTGCATTGGACGATCTTAAAAACAGTCATTCACAGTTCTTCACATCTTTGTGTTTAGATAAATACATTTTCCTTAAAATTGTACTAGGTACCACCTTCTAAAACCCCTTCAATTCCTCAAGCATCTAGTACCTTTGCACTATATTATTTATATGACATTTTAATGGTTTTACTTTATTTATTTATTTACTTAATAATACTTTTTTTATTATTAAGGTTTCTCTATGTAACAGCCCTGGCTGTCCTGGAAGTCTCTTTGTAGACCAGACCAGCCTCAAACTCACAGAGATCTGCCTGCTTCTGCCTCCCTCCCAAGTGCTGGGATTAAAGGTGTGTGCCACCATGCCTGACTCTAATGGTTTTATTTTTAAAAAAGAATTTTCCCCATAAAAATAATAGTCAATAATACAATCATTTATGGACTATTGGCCCAATGTTATGCATGTTCATGATCTTATTTCAGCCTTGGAGCAACTCCAGCATGCAGGTAATTTTATTTTATTCTAGTTTGACACATAAAGAAATGGGTTCATGAAGTCTAAGTCAGATGTACTTGACTACAAACTCCCAGCACTTTGTTGGGTTCCACACTATCTTCTCTTTAACAGCATGTAAACACAGTGCAGCAGTACAACAGTAAACTGAGTCTACGGCTCTAATATTCCATTCCATCCTTGGGCAATGGCTTTTCCATGCCCATCTCCACCTTCTGAAAACCTCCCCATGCCTCGAAATGTACTTCATCCCGCACTTCCTTTCATGATCACTCTTCTGACATTCACCAAGTGCGTTCCATGCCCATGTGCTATTGCAAGTACTTCACAGTGCACTGTCTCATTCAATCCACAACATCCCTAAGGCTGGTAGGGTTACACTCATCTTACAGAGGAGAAAATGGAAGCTTGTAGAAAATAATTAACTTTGATATAGATTAAAACAGTGGAAAGAGAAGAGGGGAGAGGGGAGGGAGGGAGAGACAGAAACAGAGACAGAGACTATGTCTTGTATGTGCTGTCCCACTCCTTGAAAACTGAACTCGGTGTATAAGGTGTGTGCTGACCATCTGGCTGTTTTCTACCTTGTTAGATATGAATAAAATTACTTGTTTAATTGAACAAGACCCCCATAGGCATTGTTGAGCCAAGTCTACCTAGTCAAAATAGGATTTTTAAAAAGTTTCTTTTGGAAAAGAAATTTGAGTCTTGCTGTAATTTTCAAATATTTTCTATTCCTGAGTGCTTTCCAAAGTGTTGGCTAGAATTCTGGTAACCACTGTAAAGCATATGTTCTCACAAAAGGATTTGGGGGGAAAAACTTGGGGGAGGAGATCAAATCAAATGCCTTTCTCCTTTGGAAACACTGAAAGCATTGCCAGATTAGGAGTCTATATAGAGTCTATATAGAAGAGAACACTATGGGGCTTTTTCCTTCATTTTTTTCTATTGATTTTCCAGACGCTTTAGTGTTAAACCATGCCAGAAGTGTTGTGGAGATGAATCACTATTATCCAAAGGCCGCCAGCCTCTTTTCCTTCTGACAGAAGGATAATTCCACGTGGATCAAATAAATACAGATGTGTAGTAATTAGTTCTATTCCCAGTGAGCCTATTTCCAACACACTAAAGATGTGAGCGATTATGGAACCTCACCCCAACAGCTTTTATCAATTTAAACCGCTAAACAACAGGATAGGTCATAACCCAGCCTGCTATTAATAATGTATTTATTATGTACCACATTACAAATTGGGGTAGGGACTAGAAAAAGATACCTTTTAAGAAGGGTGATTTGATTGTCCTCCAGAAGCATCACATGTCCCTGGCCACTCACCTGATGTACAGTCCCAAGGCAATCAAAAGAATAAAAAATCTCATCCAAGGAAAGGACGCCTACATCGTGGGCGGGCTCCTCCACAGAGACGATTTGGCTGTAGCTGATATGTTGAATGTACCCATCCTGGGCTCAGAGCCTGAGCTGGTTCACCTTTACAGTGCCAAGTCCGGAAGTAAACGGCTCTTTGACAGTGCCAATGTGCCAGTGCCTCCTGGAATATCCGACATCTATACTTACCAACAGGTATGTAGGGTGCCTCTGTTCAAGTGTCTTCTATCCCTCTGACATTGTACAACTTTAGGTAATCTGGTCCAGCCCTGTCCAGTGAAGGCTGTGTGAATGCTTGAGTTGCCCTGAAGAGATCTACATTATGCCTTCAAGTATGTTTGGTTTCTGTTTGTCTGTTTCCCATACTGTGAACTGAACCCAGGGCTTCTCACATGGTAGGTAAGTACTATGAGGTTTTATCCTCAGCTCTCTTTTAACTTTTTGAGACAAAGTTTCACTAAGTTAAGAAGGCTGGCTTTGAACTCATGGTTCCCAAGAATCTATGAGTGCATGTCTGAACTACCAGACCTGGAGGCCTTATTATAGAAATTACTAGAATTTTCAAAATGTCTACCTTTTGGGTTAAGTTACTAAATGCTGCTAAAATTAATCATGGGAATTAATCTACTGTCAGTATTTAATGCCTTAATATCTATTAGTTCATCATCACATTTAATAAGAGTCTGTTTTGGCCAAGAAGTGGGTTTGGAAGCTTTAGAGAGTGCGTGGTGAGACTGCAGAGCACTGTACACACCCTTGACTCTGATAATACTTCAGCTCTTCAGGAATGGCTCGGAAAAGAGTAGGGGAAACCGGAAGTGAGATGGCCTCAGGAATAAACTACTTCTGGTTTTCCCTTGGACCCAGTCTGTGGCTCTGCACTCCTCCATTAGCCTCTAGAAAGGTTCTCATTCTGATTCAGCTCCAGTAGGTATTCTCCCATGTAAACGCCATCTGTTTACATAATAAAGACAATTCAAAGACAAACTGCTGGCTGGTAACATTTCCTAACCTCTACTTCTGAATTTCTCTTGACTGGTTCTCTGAGACAATCACAGATTATCTCCTTTCCCTTCTTCTTGGACAATGAAGGACCCATAAAGGTCGAGGCAGTGAGTAAGTGTCAGATTTGGGGATCTCCCTCTCCCTCTGCTCTCTCTTGGTCAGGATGCTCCACACAGCACGGCCCCTGAGAACAAAATGAAGCCTCTAAGCTAATCATACATTAGAAAGCTACTTTGAAGACACTATGAATCCATCAAGCTGCCCTCAAGTGTTGAGTCTTGCTAGAGAGAGTTCCTGGCCAACATTTGGCTCATAGTAGAAACATGGTCTGGGATTTTAGTTGAGACCTGCAGAGACTGCCACCGTCATTAACTTGCACTGGAATTTGAAGGTACCTAGGTGGATTGCTTGATTCTGTTTCCTAATAGAATGTTTTGGCTGACAGACTTAATATGGGAGAAATAGATTTTTAAATGATACAACTGAATGCACATACTACACTAAACAATCTTCATGTCTTTAAAATGCATGTGTAAAGTTTGTATTGAGTTTTAGTTTCATCTTCATTGATAATAACAGGCAATCTATGCTCTGAAATATTTTAGAATTTTATACATTAATTGTGGTTAAAGATGTGGGCACATTTAATACAATACAAACTCTGTCTAGTTCTAGTATTCAGACATAGGACTAAAACCCTTCTCAGAGACCCCCAGATTTGAAGGATGTTATTTGACATATAGTATGTATCAATGGTATAGCAGTAAGCCAAGTTGTATCTGGGTTCTCTGATTGTCTGGAGGACATGCATCTGAGGTCAGCAAGAACTGAAGTACCCATTGAGGCTTTTCCAGATAGTAATGGCTCTACCTAATCAATCTGAGGGTATCAGCATTTTGAATCTGCAGATGGTGATGAATCAATCCTGACTTTTTATTGATGTGCATTGCACATTTGAAGTGGGGGAAGCTGTGATTACTTTCACTCGGGTTAATACGTATTCTTGGGCCTTAGTTGGAGTTTTACAGTGTAATTTTTCTGCTTCTGCTCTTTACCAATATAAAATGATCACAACTAAAAATATATTACATTTTTAAAAACAGATTCAAACAAAAAATGATAAATGTTTGGAAACAGCATAAAGTCTTGTGGTTTATGACTGAGTTTTTTAATCTAGCACAGCACAGTGAGCATTTCCTGTTTTGATCCATAAAATAACCATGTAAGTCCCTTTCTGGCATGCGCTTTGTATGAAATATTGACAGCTTTGGTTAAATAATCAAAACTGGCAATGCTGTTTTAAAGCACTGTTCAATTTTCACTTAAAGATAGCACATAATTCTTCCAGCAGTGTAGTCTTTACAATACTATTGATCGTTTTCATTACTGTAGGGATCCTGCCACAGGCACCCATTTATAGGACTCTCAGAAGCAACAAATAATAGGATTTGGAGGAAACACATACTAATTCTGTTAGTATTTGAAGCTTCCAAGTATATATCTAAATACACCATTTTTAAAGGCTATGCTGGAACACCTTTTCTTAATCTAGCAAAATAATTTTTTAGCCAATATGAGGAGACTAACCAGCACCTCTGCTTCCACAACTTGTGATCGTCGTACACCCAGACCATGGCAAGACATAAGTACGAAATATGCCTGACTGCGGAAAGAGGGGTGCCAGCAGGAAGACACAGCAGGACCGCCTTGGCTGTGCTCACAGCCATATTGTCTGTAGACCAGAGCCCTTATCATTTAAACATCCAAATTATCAATCAACACTACTCAATATTAGAGAGCGGAGTCAATTTCATTTTCACCTTTACTGAATAACCTACAGTTGGAAACCCCAAGTGTGGCTCTTTTGGTATCTCTTCCACACTGCTGTGTCATGTAGCATTCCCCAAATCATATGCTGACTAGAAACAATTCAGGATAACATATTGTACCTTTAAGCAAAACCATTTTGTAACTTGGCAGTTCTAGACCTCAGCAGAACCATTAGTCTTCGGTGCTTTCAAACTCTTGAGTTAAAAAATAAAAATCCATTTGGTCGTCAAAAGAATAGGTGTGCTGCATAATTTTATGCCAACTTGACACAAACTATAGTCATCTGAGAGCAAGGAACTCAACTGAAAAAAATGCCTCCATAAGATTGGGCTGTAGGCAAGCCTGTTAGGCAAACTTAATTAGTGATTGATGTGGGACGGCCCAGCCCATTGTGGGTGGGGCCACCCCTGTGCTGGCAGTCCTGGGTTCTATAAGCAATCAGATTGAGAAAACCATAAAGAACAAGCCAGTAAGCAGCATCCCTCAATGGCCTCTGCATCAGCTTCTGCCTCCAGGTTCCTGCCCTGTTTGAGTTCCTGTCCTAATTGACATCCTTCAATGATGGACAATGATGTGGAAATGTAAGCAGAATAAGCCCTTTTCTCCTCAAGATGTCACAGCAATGATAACCCTGACTAAGACAATAGAGCATCAGAATATTACTGTCAAGTATAGGATGCCACAGCATGGGCATGGGTAGGTATAGGAGACACAATGAATTGGTGTTGTTTTGTTGCCTTTTGGGAAGTACAGACAACAAAGTCATTTTGTGATCTAATGAACTGGTGTTCTTCAAAGCTGAAATAGAACATTCTTACATAGAATTAATAGTCTTGCTACAGAGACTTTTGTCTGATTCAAATGCAGCACAAGTGACTTACTGACTTGGAAGCAAGTTGTTTCTCCGGCTCCTCCTCTGCCCTCTTTCTACACTTTACCCTTCTCCAGCAACCTAGAGGCTTGGACATGAAGCCCCACAAAGAGGGAATGAGTGTAGGGTTTGGAGTCAAAGCAATCCAAGAGAAACCCTGCTCTGCCACTCAGTGCTGTATGATCATAGACAAGTCACTCAAATCAGTCAGCCTCTCCTTATGTATTAAATAGAATTACTAATGGTACCTTCGTCATAGGTTATTATATTAAATGGGAAACTCATATAGAGGATGCATGCAACAAGGGCCAGTTCCTACTGAATGTTCACTAATGTTAGTTATTATTGTTCTTACTATCATTTTATAATTAAAGCATGGATTTTGGTCCCTTAAAATTTCATCTATTTAATCCCAGCTATTGAGAGAGTATTGTTTCACATCAAATGCAGGGCAGCTGCAATTCCAGCAAGGCTGTTTCTGAAAGTGGTTTTTGTTGTTGTTTTAAGTTTTAGATTTTTATTTCTTTTTAAATCCTAAAAATAGAACCTTTTTCCCCCAACATAATATTTTTCTTGATTATTTTGGAATTTCACATAATGTCCCCTGATCACCTTCACTTCCCAGTCCTCCCAGGTCCAGCCTCCCCATCGTGATCTGCAAATGTTTTTCTCTCAGTTATCTGTCTTTATAATACATTCATTTATGTCACAAATACAGGCAACTTGGCCAGTTGGCCAAACAAATGTATTTTAGTGAGGAAAAAAAAATGTCTTCCACATTACAGTACTTATTTATTTTAGGTTACAGTATTAAAAGCTCAACAAAAATTTTAGGACTATATTTTTATAGTCTTGACATCATTAAAACAATCATTTGAAGACACAATAACCAGACACCTAAGTTACTGAGAAAGAAAGGTGACAATTCCAGGGTCCAATTATACATGTTTAAAGTGTCTTTTCTTTTTTTCCTCACAAGTCAGCAGTAATAGATTTTTAATTTCTCACAAATCCTACTGCATTTTAAACATGGCTTTTATCCCATTGGCTAGTGATTTCTTTATATCATACATCACTTCAAACTTCCTGAATTTGTCCTAATGAGTGGAAGGGAGCCTGATAAACAGACTGTGTAGAGATACACTCTTAGCACCACAGCCAAGCTGTTATGACAGAAAGGAAACACGCTTTCCTGTGTTCTGTACCTTTGCCCCACAGATGATAGAACAGTTGGGCCAGTTGGTGACTGACCACCTGCAAGTCCGACGCTGGGTCTTTAAAATGAACATGGAATTTGGAGGAAACGGGACAGCATTTTGTGACATCCCTTCCCACCTGGATTGCTACAAGTGGGCGCTAAAGGAGAGTAAAAGATACGGCCGTGAAGACTGGAAGAAGAAGTGGGCACAAGTGAGTGTTCAGTGGTGACTCAAACCACAGGGCTGTGGACAGTCAGGAGATAAGATCCTGTCTCCCAGACTCAGCCCTGTCATCTATCAGCAGAGCCTTTCCTGGGCCTTAGTCCTAATGAACAATATGAATGGACTTACTGCGTTACTTAAATGTCCAGTTGAGGGGCCAAAACATCTTTTTTCACAAACTGATTATGATACCTAAGAAATGACTAAAAGGCCACAGTCAGGTAGCATTACATATCTTAGCATCTGCCCCGAGCAGTTCCTGTGCTTCTGCCAACCATGGTGATTAAGCTAGCTGTGTTCTATTATGAGGAATTCTACTAGCAAATGGTGGTCATTGTAAGCTAATGTAAAATAGCATTCTGTCAGGAGCCATGTTTTTGAAGACATCTATGTCTATGTAACTACTAGTCCCTATGAGATGCTGAGAGAAGAAAAGACCCCAGAAGAGAACTTCCAGAAAAAGCTGAGTAGTAGGCTCAGGGTCTCAGGCTATGAGTGGAGGTGTGTAAACCTTTCCACATAGGTCGGTGAAATGAATTATACAACCTCAGTCTGCTCCAATTTTGCTTAATATTTGTACATGGTTTAATGTTTAACCTGACCTCTAAATACTGTCCCACTTTGTATCCTTATACCCAGCTTCTATTTATCACACTACCTTGTTTTGCCTGCCCTACTACAAAAAAGAAAATTGACAGGCAAACTCCTTATATGGTCCCTTTCCTCCCAGCATGCATAGAGGTGGGCCTTGCAGTGATTTGCATCTGCTTTGTGCATCCCACCACAGAAGTCTATGAATCAAGACACAAGTGATAGAAAGGAAGGGGAACACTGGTGGGAACCACATTATTCCTGGGCAAGTGAAATGATGAATAAATCTAGAGAACAGTCAGGAGGGAGAGTTCCTTTTAACAAATGGGCTGGTTCTTTCTCCCCATGATCTATTCTGGGCTTTCTTCCCCCGCCAACAGTGAACGGACTAAATGCAGTACCTGTCATGGCTAGCTCTTTACATATTATTTAAAGGATACCAAAGTGAATTACTCTTCTAGAAAAAAAATAAAGCAAAGAAAATGTATTTAATTTTGAGGCCAATAGAAGTTTCTCTTACGTTCTCTTTGAACTGGATTTTATCTTTGTGAAGCAAAGCTGTTGAGTTTAAACCATGAAAAAGTCTAGACACTTTTATTTTAAAGAATTGAAATACTAGTGTATACAGTGTTTGCTGGCCTCAGCATTTCAAACCAATAATTTTTAAAGCATTCCCTTGACATTAGACTATGATAAATTTGAAATGTTTGACTTTGAGTTTTAAAAATATTTGCAGTACTGACATTTGGCTGAATTGTGGTTAGAAACCTCACTGTAGATTATTTAATTTCAATTATTTTAAACTATGCCATTTTAAATTGTTACCAAATACATTTGGCACTGTTGTTAATGTTATTAAATTTGAGACTCTTAAATAATTAATGTTCTATTTAAATCATTTAAAAAAACTTAACAGGGAAAAATAATTATTCAGAAATCCTGTTATGATGCATGGCTCATGCTTAGCTATGATGCGTGAGAAGCCAAAGCTGAAAATAAAAATGAAGTCCCTGTGAGCTCCATTCCCTCTTGCAGGGACTAACGACAGCTTATGCCTTCAAAGGGAACCTCCTTAGAGTGGAGGGGAGCTGTGGGTATCTATTGAGAATTTAGGATTGGAAGCCCCCTTTGTTCCAGAAGAGCATTGTAACGGTGCACATTTAGACATCAAAGCATTACTTTATGAGCACAGGCGTGTTTTAATGTCCTATTACAGTCTGTAGACCTGCTCCTTTTGATAATGAAGATGTTGTATCATCAAGCCTAGCCTGGCACATACAAAACATATGCTGGCAGGTTATTAAAAATTTCAGCTTCTTGATGAAAGACTATCCTGCAGGCTAAGAGTCCAGAGAAAGACTCCATTCTGGGAGAATTATTAGAAATGAGAATATGACTGTAAGCACTAAATTATGTTAATACTTACAAATGGCATCATTTGCATAGCAGTTTGTGACACGATGCCGTGATTTCTTTATTGGTATGTCATAGGCGACAGATGAAAGCAGTGCTGTTTATGGGGTGGGAGCTACTGTGGAGTCTTATGCAGATGCTGGTCTTACAGGTAGGTAGGATTCGGTGTAGACATAGATAGACAACATAAAGACCATCTCTTTGTCCACTCTAATTTTGAACTGACCTTTGGCTGGTTGCAGTTGAGACTTGAAACACAGTCACATGAGTTGTCAGATGCTAAAAAGCCATAGTCACCCTTGAAAATTCAGGATCAAGATGTAGGAACCTCTGGAAAAGCAGAAAGGCCACAATGGAAATTAAAAAAAAAAAAGAATTTTCATATTTTCTCAGAGGCTGGTAACAAGCTTCTGCTTGTTATCCTATTGGCCAATGGAACCAGCTCCCCTTGCTCCACCCACTGGCTCCTAATAAGCTCAGTTGTGGAGTACACAGCACTTGCTAAGGTTTCTAAATTCTTACACAAATGCACGGTTCCTTGCTTCTGAGTCAGGGTATTGTTTTTGGTTTGTTTGTTTGTTTTTTTGTTTGTTTTTCGAGACAGGGTTTCTCTGTGTAGTTTTGGTTCCTATCCTGGATCTTGCTCTGTAGACCAGGCTGGCCTTGAACTCACAGAGATTCGCCTGCCTCTGTCTCTTGAGTGCTGGGATTAAAGGTGTATGCCACCACCGCCCGGCAGAACTGCATGTTTTTTAAAGACTGAATTTTTTAATTTTATCTGTATTGGTGTTTGGACTGCATGAATGCCTGTGTACCGTGTGTGCCTGGTGCCTGAGGAAGACAGAAGAGGGCATCTTAGAACTGGTCACAGTTATAGCCACCATGTGGGTGCTGAGAACCAAACTCTGATTTTTCGTTTTTGGTTTTTGTTTTTTTTTAACCTTTCCTTGTACGCTACTTTGTTTTACTGCGTTAGAGTGTTAGACATTTGGTATTAATTTAAGATTCACCCAAAGGGGAAGATCCTAATTCAGGGTACCCAAACTTAGAAAGGCAGAGTAATCTGTAATCATCATTCCATCTTCTTAGAGAACTAAGTCAGTGAACAAACCATTACAAGGGAGACCTGCCTACCACACTGAGCTCAGAACAACTCCACTGCCTCTGTGGAGCCTTGCAGGCAGTAATGGGGACTACTTGTAGGGGACTGACCTAGGTGCCTCATGGAGAACAGGGTTTGGCTTTATCAGGTGAGCTCAAAAAAGCCACTGACTCATCACCACAGAATGTTTAGTGAAGTTAAAATATAATAACAATATTAAAGATATGTCTAACCAAATAAGTGTAAAATCACTTTCTCATTGCCTTCACTTTCCTGACTTAATTCTCAAATGTGTATCAGCTCTCATTGCCACAATAATTGTAAATATGCTAATTAAACATAAGATCTTAGCCATTTACCCTGTTTATTCACATTCATCACAATTAATGGCTGCAGTTACTCCATTTTATTAATTCTAATATGCTAAACCATTCACCTGTCTGAAAACTTAAGCTCATCTCCAGTTTTGTTTTGTTTTTGTTTTTAAATTGTGGACCAGAGAAAAGCTTTGTTTTTAGTTTTAGTGTGTGCCAAAAACAAAAACAAAACAAGACAACAAACTTCTGTTGAATTTTTCTAGGAGAAAGACCCATGAGGAGAATGCTGTATGAAGCAAGAGGGCTTTGGCTCCTGTTGTGTGTGCTGTTTGTAAGAAGGTGCTACTGGATTCCCAAAACACTAGCAGAGCACACAGAACAAGGGAAGACTTCCTTCAATTCCTAGAGAAGCACCTCACCTTAGGTCTGGCCTTGGGGCCATGCCAGTGCTGCTGCTCTGGCTGATTTTCTACTTCCCATAGTCTTTCTCAACACACAGTCACTGCTCTAGAGTGCTTCCCTTTCCCACAAGGCAGTGCATTGGGAGGGGAGGGGAGGGGAGCTGTCAGTATGCAGACCTCAGCTTCATGCGAGGGGCCTGCTCAGGAGTCCCTGGAAAACCTGGCCGCCTCACCACATGCATAGCTGTTAATGTGCACAGCTGACAAAAGAGAACTTTATATATTACCTTGTGCCTAGTCATGGGGATATGCACTTTGGTGCCTTTCTCGATTTAATACACTGGCATAGTCATTTGAGTCTACCTGTAAACTATCACAAAGTGTTGACTAACCCACCTTCACAATCAGATGCAGCACTAAAAACAGGATGAGCAATTCAACTCATTTTTTTTTTTTTTTTGCATAAGCCACCAAAAATTTTGGTTTGTTTTTACTTATTTTCAGACATAATTCAGGTTTCCATGGTAAGCACTTTTACAGGAAAGGAGTTGCAGTGGGTGGTATTGAGAAGTACAAAAGTGAGGGGCAGTTGGCTTCACAAGGTCCCGCTGCTTTACCTCCCTTCCAGCCTGCTAGGGAACAGCCATAACCAAATTACTAGGCTCTCTAAGCTGCCATCTTTATCTGGAAACAGATAACAGTACACCTGTCTCATGAGGCGGTGCTGAGAATTCAGTGAATCCTGGGAATTGGCTAGCAATGTTCTTAGCATATGAAAGTTTAAGACATTGTTGCTTTTTATTATGCATATTAATTAAATTTGTATTAGAAGAAAATACAAGAAATACTGAGTGAGTAAATACAAATCAGTTGTTCTTTAGCAATTCAGAAGGTTCTTTAGAAGGCTTTTGTAGCCTTAAAGAATACTGTAGCATGCTTCAATTATCATTATACAAGATGCTGTCAAAAATTCAGAATGATGATCCAATTGTCCCTATGCTATGATTTTCCCAATGAATGCCTTTAAAAGAATAGCCCTTGATAGCAGCCTGGCCTCTTACCATTTGAAAGTAGAAAACAATACGTGTATTGTAGCTTTCTCCATGTTCAATAAAGAGGCTTGATAAAGTAGAGATTATTCTGACCAAAACATTGAGTCTGGATGCTTCATTTTCTGGTTCCAGTTGGCATATTTTCTAATTAGTGTAACAGCACGTCACCACGATCATTGGAAAGTCTTAATCATTTACATATTTTTTTCTTAGCTCTGAGAATGACTTAGAACGTTTTCTTCCAGTTCAATGGTTATTTTCATGGAGCTGCCAGGGTTGAGTTTGAGGTACTTCTCTGTGCCTGAGGATGATGACAGGAGAAGGAAAATTGCCTCCCCAGTTAAATGAAAGCCAGGGTACCCCTTCTGAGGACCTATAATAATCAGCTATACAAGCTGTTGGCTTGTGTGTCCTATTGATTTAATATGCTTCTAATCAGTACATAAAGCTATGGGCCTGCAGTGTTAATTTTTCATATGCTTACAAAGTACCCTTTGATTTTCTGTCACACGTTAATTACAGCGTTTTGCCATTAAATAGGAAGCTTTGTGTAAACTAATTACTAGGTAATCATTGTCTACTGCAAGCGTGCTGTTTGTACCTTTTATTTTATTCTAAAAATGCACAGATCTCACAGTCTGGAAACACTCTACCTTCCAGCCATTAGCTCTCACTAATTCATAGCATTATTGTGGAGAGTGGAGGAGTTGTAATTGTTGTGGTATCAGAGCTGTTAATTACCGGAGTAAACAGTTGAAATGGTGCCAAGGTCTATTGTACAAGGCAGAGAAAAGGAGGTTTAAATGTTACTCCCACCATCTGGGGACTGGAGGAGAGGCAAATGCTTGGAAGCAGTGGCGAGGCACGGCCGCCGCTTCAGCTCCAGGGTTGGCGGCCATATGGATCCAGAGAAACTGGAATCAATTGAATTTAACTGCCAGTTTTTCACAATAACAGCGTGGAAGGAGGGAATAAAACAGAAGATGAGAAGAAGGAGAATTGGTTAGTGTTTCATACCCAGGAAGGTCCTGCTGGAGTGCTTTTGAAATTGTCTGCTCTGGTGAAAACCGCAGAGCAGGCTCGGGCTTTGGAATGGATTCAGAGTGAGCTTTTCCTCTCTGACGGCCACAGTGCCATGTGCTTCTGGTCATCTGTCCTCGGTGCCCCTTGGTGAGTCAGGGATGCCCTTGAGAAGTCTAGGACTTTCTGTCTCAAGACAGCCCCCCACTGTGGGACTCACTGGTCTCATCCTGTGCATGGTCTGTAGAAAGAATAATCAATTTACAATGCTGCTACATCTTCCTGACTCCTTGTATGCCATGTGTGGAAATACCTAAAAAGGCCCAGCTCTTCTCTTGATTGAGAAACGATGTTGCTTGCCCATTCCTTTCTTATAGCATTAAATACAAAAGTCTCTTGATAATCTCTCCGTTTCATTCCTGGAATTCAGTCTTTCCCCACACTTGAATGAGAATCAAAGCCTGGTCTACAAAGCGCATACCAGGACAGCCAGGGCTACACAGAAAAACAAAACAAAACAAGAAGAAAGAAAGGAGAATCAAGTCCAAAGGGCATGCAATTTCCTTTTGTCTTCACTCTGCAATTAAAGAGCTTCCGTCAGCATCCACCGTTTTCCCACCAGCCTTAGTTCTCTATGTGGATAGGAAGAAACCTGTTTCCAGAAGTAACAGTTATGGCTAATTCCACTTATGGTTGATTTAAACATAACGTGGTTTCTGTTTTAAAATATTGGAAAATGTTTAAAACAGTCATATGTATTTGCTGGTTGTCATTCTTACAGTTCAGTATAATTTCCTGGAAAACTCTTTTCCAGTGGTAAGAATATTTGTCTAGCACCAGTCATTTGCTGCGGTAACTACTTTTCAGTATCATTCCCCAAACATGAACATATCCTTCTCTTTTTAAACCACCCTGGATTACTGTATTTATTTCTAATCGTTCCTTTAGCAGATGTTGAAGTAATTTGGGGTGTAATATAAACAACTCTTTTAAAGAGAGAAATCACAGATACACCAGGAAAAAAGAGGGCAGTGTATATCAGGCTTTTATAATGGCAGTTTTGTCAGAGGGGGGAGAATTTTCTCTCCTTTTGTGTATGTGCAAAGTTCAATTGAGAATTTCTAGAAGCACTTAATCTTTATCTGTGGAAACCCCCAGCATGCAGCACGACAGGAGGAGCCTAGAAACAAACAGACAAACAAACAAACAACAACAACTACAAAAGCCTAGCTCCCTGCGGTGAGGGGAAGGGAAACAGCAGTGTGCGCACTGGAAAGTGGAGAGGGAACGAACTTCTCCGTGTTTGTGGTCGCGCTGAAACAGTTGTGCTGAGCTTTGGAATAGAAGCACAACATATGTGCCTCAGTTGGACAAAATGCTTCTCAAGTCACATCAACTGCTAGGCCTGCATGTTGGTGCAAGGTGGAGGTCTAGATAATGAGGGACAGACTCCTCGAGAAGCAGTGAGTGGCTAATGCTACGTAAGTATGGAATTATATACCGTGTTTTCAACATTCTGTTTAATGAGCGCTGCCACCGCAGCGAATCACTTGCCACACACCCGAAATGGGCCATTAGCTATCAAGGGAAAATTGTCTTGGCTGCTTTTAGCAGATGGAGCAAATATTTTACAAAGCAATTTTACATACCAAAAACATTTGTGTGCTTTGGTAATGCTGGTTGTTTTACATTATGTTACCTTCTACTGCAGCATAATTTTCCATCTCATCGAAGGCAAACTTGGCATTTTTGATTTTTAAATTCTCCATTAACAATTAAACATGGAGTATTAAAGCTGTCCTTAAACTTTAAGTAGGTATGGGAAGTAGTTTTTGACTTGCTGGAGACATTTTCATTTTTTTTCTTCATCCTTTCAACATATTTTTGCACCCTAAAGAGGGACTGTTCCTAATGATCTTAGTGGAAGGAATGAGTGAAAACTTTACTACTGACTACAAAATGAAAGTAATCACCATGTGGGGTTAGCAGAGCATCCACTAGCTTAAAACTACCATTATGGATTATAGGGACATGCTTTGGCCCACCCATTTTTTGCATCCATTTAAAATGTTTAAGCTTCAAGTAACAGAACCTCAACTCAAATGGCTTTTCAAATAAAGAGAAACTGGCCTTGGCTATATGGAAATCCAAAGTCTGTTCTGGCTCCAGACAGTAATGTCACCAAAGACCCACAGTTTCTCTCCTTTGGACTATGCATAAGGCTGGTTCCTTCCTAAGGCTAGCTTCCAGAATTTGTTCTTGGTCCAGGCAATAGAAAGAGAGATCACCTCACTTGGTAGCAACTCAGATCACACACTTTCTTTCCCCAGGCCCCAGTAAGCATTTCCTAGCAAGTGATTGGCCTCATTGGGTCACATCTGTGTACTGGACCAGCCGCTGTGTAAGGGCAAGGCTACATTTCTTTGGAGGTGAGAGTGGAATCTCCCTCAATCAATCTTCCATAGCAAAGACTAGGGAAGAACAGTTCCTGAAAGGAAGTGTGGGGTACCCTTAACCTGTAGACAACAGCAGATATCTATCCTATAATTTTTCCATATTTAATATCACATCTGTAGTTGATCTAATCTGTCCAGTGTGCCGGACCCATTGATGGCAGTTACAGGCACAGATCCCACTTTACTATGGCACACTGGTAGCAATTGAGTTTAAACCCAAGTTTTGCTACTTCCTAGCTGTACCACACTAAATAAAGGTAGTACCTCTAGATAGTGGCTGTAAGAAGGTAAATGTAGGACCCCTGGCACATGGCTGTAACATGTTAAACTTTCAGTAAGTGAAAGCTATTATTTCACCTTAAAAATGACCACAGCAATTTAAAAAAAAATAAGCAGTTTTAAGTTCATCTTTACTGTGGAATGCTGCTTCCGCCCACCTGTGTCACCAGCCGATTCCAATCCCAACACTGTTCACATTACACCACACGTCTGCCTGAACAGGAAGGGGTGTTCAGAAAAAAAGCCAGAGAGCTCCTGCAGCCTTGCTGTGTGATGTTACATGAGACATTTGCCCCAAGTAGTCCATGGGTCCCCTCTAAACTGACAGTCTTACTGAGAGTCCTAGTCTGTCAGCTCACTGTCCTACCCTTCTGACTTTGTGTCACTGCCTAGGCCTCCTGTCAGGGTTATCAGAAACACCCACGAAGCAGAACCTTCTAGGTAGTCTCTGGAATTTCCTTACACTCTGTCTTAATCAAAAGATAAAGAAATGTTTCTTTGATTTTCTTTTGAACATCATCAAACGATATCTGATGTTGGATACTAGAGTTTAATGAAGAAGTTATTTTACTTAATAGACCACTGACAGTTCAGCCAAAAGGCTGCAAAATGAAATATGAGTTTTAGTAGGATTGAGAGTATTCTATTTTGGACTCCTCTTTCTTCTTCTTCATCCTATACACATACACACACACACACACACACACACACGCACGCACGCACGCACGCACGCACGCACGCACGCACGCACATATGCACACGTCACTAGAAATTTTCTTGGGTGGGAAAATTAACTCTCTAGAGTTAGAAGTGTCTTTTGTCATCAAGGGCAGCATTAAACTGAATGTGCTGATGGCTTCCCCTAAGATACTCTGCATTCCCCTTCAGTCAACAAATCTGTTCCTTCAAATTTGCATTTCCTTGACAGAGAAATAAAGCCACGAAGCATGGTCCAAGCTTAATAGAAAAGAGTCTCTAGTTTATTCACTCAGAACAAGAGAAACCATATCCTTCCTGAAGATGCCTTAGAACTTTCCAAGTCATTATTATTATTGATGAACTCTAAGAGATCATTCTGGGCTCTCAAGAACAGATGCTCACGTCTATGCAGTGACGAAGATGGGCTGAAGACTAACTAGGAAGTGCCCTACAGCCAGTTTCAGAAGCCAACAGTGAGTGCACTCCTAGAACCAGTCCAACCACGATGAGAGGAAAACCTGGAATCCTGACAGTTTTCAAAAAGTAAAACATGATTTTCTACCATTTACCTATGGTTCACAAGGAATATTATTTTCTAGCCCACACCCCAGAGTCACTGACCCTAAACAACCTGTGCAATGTGGACAACAGGATCTTGAAACACTGATTTGGTCACTCATTGCCTTGTTCTAATTCACTAGACAGAACTCTTTAATTCCACATCATAAGTTTGTAAAAAATGTACTTCTGTTCCTAGCTTGTGATAACAGACAGACAGACATATGATAAATAGACTTACACATGTTGTGCACACTCTCCTTTACTTGAATGTATGAGCTACAAGCCCCACATTAACATCATTATATACTTATTATTTTGTAGAGGTGAGGGAACAAGTCTCTCTTCATTGGCACTAAGGCCATAGGTACTAAGGTATTAGTTAAGACTTAGACATCCCATTAGAAAGAAATTAGATAGTTAATATTACCCTCTTTGGCCCCTATTATTCTTCACCATGTCTTTTCCTTAGAGAGCTAATCATGACCCCAAGATGCCTCTGAGTGCCCCAGCTTCCCCACTGAATGCTACCCTGTCAGCGCCTTCAGTTGATGGGACATGAGGCATCCTCCAGACTCCTGTAGCAGATTTCCCTTTTAGAAATCTACCTCCTTGTTGTGGTTTTGTGCACAGTGCAATGCTAGCCATTGTAGCAGAATGGCTCACTTTGTAAGCAGAAGTAGTAGTGGCAGCCTGACACTGTGTCCAGAAGCCTTGTAAGTTAATTATTGGCTCTCACATATGTCGCAACTGAGGTGACACTCCATATATGTCAACTCATTTATCTTTCTGAAGCCGCCCTCAGAGGCAGGGAGTCCTGTGAAATCCACCCAAGAGGAATTGGTGGTTCTAAAGTAGCCAGTCCTTCAGGTGGTTCCTTGGAAGTAAGGAGGAGTCTATTGAGAGATTCACATCTTCTTTTATTCTGTAGCTTCAACTATTAAGGACCATCTCCCCATGTTCACTAAATCAGGATTCATATGCAAACGTGGAGCATTCTTCTCCTGGGCATGGGAGGTTTGCCATTTCAGAGCTAGAGGATGTGTGAGTGGTTGAGGAGGACCCCTGACTATAGCAGAGAGGAAGGCTTCTGGGAGTAAAAGACGAGGAGGAGTGAGCTAGGGAGGATGACCGAAAGTCTGCGGGAGGCAAGACTACATTAGTAGGGACCAGGCTGTTTGTTTGTTTGTTTGTTTTGGAGGTTAGCACACAAAGTAATGGGCTTCCTCATGGCAACTGTAGACCTGTG